CCCCCCGCCACAGCTCTGCAGCCTTCCTGAACCACGGCAGGGCTGATCCACCACCGAGGGCACCCACCTGGGGGGAGCGAGCGGGTCCTGTGCCAGCCTGGGCCCCCAGAGCCACCCCACAGCTCTGGGGTGGCACGCCGTCCCGCTCCCCAACGCTGCAGCATCTCGCAGGGTGGATCAACGATGCTGCGGCTGTCAGCCCCAAGACATCCTTGGAGGACAGAGATGTCCTACCCATGCAGGGATGATGTCCGCAGGAGGGAGAGGCTGAGGCAGGGTGCTGGAAGCCAGCAAGTCCCCTGGCATCCCTCAGAGCCTCGAGACCCAAAGACCCTCCACCATCAGAGCCCGTTCACCACCCCCACACTGCCAAAACCTCCTGCAGGGAGCCCAAAAGACAGCATCCTTCCAGAGACGGGCGAGCCTCTTCCCCTCAGCCCATGGCCCATTAATCTCACCTGGAATTGCTTCGGCTCCCAGCCAGCACAGAGGCAGCTGGAGGCTGACTTGCAACGGGAGCTGGGCGCTCACCGAGAGCCTCAAACCACCGCGGCACTTCCATGGGCAAAATAATAAGAATGGTGACAATTCATCAGTAATTTATAGTTTTGCCTTGAAACTTCCAACTGTGTCATCACAGCCGGGCAGGGACCGAGGGGGCCCAAACCCCGTGGCCGCTCTCCAGCCCAGCTCGGGTGGAGAGGCAAAGCCTCAGGGCAGGTTTGCTGCCCCTGCTCCCACGGATGCCAGCCCCTCGGCTGTGTTTGCTATGGGATGAAAGTATCTGCAGGATCAACTGTCTCAGGAAAAGGGCATTTCCCTTTATCCCAACCTCCTTATTGCATGGAGAGACTGATTTCCAATTTGCCTCCTTGTATCATCACTAAATACTAATTTATAAGGCAGTGCTGTGTCCGGGGCAGCACAGGGGCAGGGGACGGACCTCCCTGCTCCATCGTGCCTGGCCATGCCCGGGGGGGGTCAGGGGCTACCACCACATGCTCCCTCCATGGCCGCGGCCGTGGCTGTGCACAGCTATCTAAAGCAAAGTGCAGGGCAAGCGTGGAGAGTCAAAGGCTCGGCTGCACACTCTGTTACTTGCATGATTTGACCCGCAATAGTGTAAGATTTAATTACAATGAGATTTTGTGCTTCCATCTTCACCTGTTTCTCTCCTGGTGGAGAAAGCAAGCAGCGAGCTTGTGCTGCCCGTGCCAGCTTGGGTACGATGATTAGTTGCTGTGGCTTTGTCTGTACCAGTAAATGAATTGTGCCTGGGCTGGCACCAAAGCCAGGTGGCAGGGAACAGACCAAGTCCTCGCAACTAACCTCTTCTCTAACGCCAGGCTGCCTGCCCTTCTGCCAGCACCCCTGCCCGCGGCGGCTCCTAGCCCTGCTGGAATGGTCTGGAGAGGGCTGCCTGGCCCGCAGGAAGCCCTGGCCCGAGCTGCTCCAGCAGGTTAATGATGAGCCTGGGAATGGCCCTTGGTTTTGTTGAATTTGATTTTGGGGATGTGTCCTGGGTGTTGGAGGGTGGTGAAATGACCTGGGGCAGAGACAGAGCAGAGGGAGGGAATGCAGCACACGGGAGATGGCAAGTTGCTGTAAGATGGAGGCAATGCATGTCCTTGGGGCACGTGGAAGCCCTCCAGACAGTAAATCATTGTCTTGAAGTGCCTGACCTTACACTGCGGTATCTCCCTGCTCCCTCTCCAGAGGTTCCCCATCTATGTAAAAAATAGCCACTGTTGCATTAAGACTCCAAATTTTCTCATATTTCTGGTTACAGCTTCTGAGCCCAACCGCAAGGCAAGGTCTCCAGCAAGTTCAGCAAATATTCATCAATCTTTCCTGGCTTAGGCACCCAGTGGGCTCAGTAAAACTCCAAGCCAAAAAAGTTTCAGGCTGTCAGAGCCATGGGCTGTGGCCAAGCAATACACCGGTCCCGTGCCCGCCGCAGACGGATGGCAACGCAGTCACCTTACTGCAGGAGGCTGGATGCTGTGGGTGCATCCAAGGGCTCCAGCGCAGCCCTGGGGAAGGCTCAAATGTGAAGGAGGTTGGTTAAATAATCTTCTGGCATGGAGCAAGCTGAGATCCCCCCGTCAGCAGCGCCTACAGACATCCTGTGGCTCTGGGAGGAAGGTGAGGGTCGTGGGGATGGGACTCCCAGAGCTGGTGGTCCCCAGTCTCCTCCTTCTGCTCAGAGGATGCTGCCATCAGGGCTTGGCTTTCCCTCCTGCCACCCTGAGGGCCAGTGCTGGGGAGAGGCAAGGCTGCGCAGGGACAGCCGATGGCACGGGAAGGAGAAGCCCAAACCCCTCCAGCCAGAGCAATCCCCTTCCACAGCTCGCGGGAGGTCGGAGGGGAATGAACACAGCAGCAAGCACAGAAACCACCAGGAAAAAAGAACATTAAGGAAAGCCCAAACAGCTTTGCCACCGAGAAATGGAAGAGCAGGCTTTTGCGTCTGCCTTAATTTAGCTCTTTCTCTCTGGAAAGGACTATTTGTTAAACTCTTTGTGTTCGCGTCCCCAGCAGTAATCAGCCCCCGTCGGCTGCTGGCTCTGCGGATCACCCTGCGCCCGCAGGTGCGCTAACGCTCGCCCCGCTCCATCCCACCCTCCCACGTGGCAGACACCCAGCGGCTCTGGCCTCTCACAACAGTTGTCCAAGGGGCTGAAAAGCGCTTGAAGATTTTTCTTTTAATTGAAGGAGCTCTGCAGACATGTTATATTCACATATATTTCACCCTATATTTTAATTTATTGCTATATCAGCTATTAAAAAAAAAAAGGCAGAAAGAAGAAAGGAGTGGAGCTGCCACAAGCTGGGTGCCTTTCGGGATGACTCACTGCAGTGCTGAAATGGCTGCTGGCTTCAGACTCACCCTGCTTCTGCGATTAGCTTCCAGACTGCAGAAGGGACCATGGCAAGAGGTTTCGCTCCCCGTCCCCATCCCCACGTGGAGGATTTGCCATGTGGTTATCGACATAATCCCCCCCTGGGCTTCAGCGGGAGGAGACCTGCCTTCTCCAAGAGAGGAAGATGGGGGGAGACATGAAAGGAAGAGATGGCGAGGCATTTCCAGCTGACCTGATTTTCTGCCCCTTCCCATCTCCACATCACTGCCAGTTAGTTCAGGAGCCGGGGCAGACACATGGGGCTGGCCCGTGCCACGGGGAGCTGCACCCTCCCAGCGTGGCTGCAAACCTGGCTGCGCTGAGCAGGGGCCCTTGCACCTCAGTTTGCTGGGAAAGAGCCTTAAAATGGGAGTCTCCCTTTCCCACCAGGGCTTGCCAGCGTCAATGTGAAGTCAGGCTAGCAAGCTCTGGTCAGCTAATGAGAGAGTCAGGCCTTTGTGCAGCCAAGTCCCCTCTGAAGGATGCTGTGATGCCAGCACATCACAGTGCCCAAAAGGTGAACTTTGCTCTCCTGCAGCTGCTTCCAGCCAGGGCTTTGAGCTGCAGCAGGAGGCACAGAGGTGTCTCCCATCCCTGTCTCCCCATCTCCCATCCCTGTCTCCCCAGCCCCTTCCCAGGGTGACCCCTCCAGCCTGGGGCTTTACGGGCAGAGCCCCGACAGCTCTCTGCCTTGCCTCCTGCTCCCGCTTCAGCTCCTCCACACAGCCCAGGGAACACTCAGCAAACCTCCCGGTGCTGGGAGAGCTGGTTTTTGGGGGGACAGGGCTCAGATTTGCCCTGTGGCAGTGCATAAATGAGGCTTTGGTGAAGAGACGAAGTGCCGGACAGAGTGGGCGTCCTCACAGCGTGAAGCACGGCTC